GATTTATTAGTTCGATTACTTAATTCTACAAAATTACTCGCATCATCAACAGATGAAAATCAAGCAATTGAAAAAGAATGTATGTATATGAAAATTGATTGATATTTTTTAAATATAATTATTTGTATATATTTTAAGATGCTATGAAAAAAGCTTGTACAATAGAACGTATTAAAAATGTTCATCAACGAGTACGAAATGAAATTCAAGATTTAACTGAACGACTTCGTATAACTCAAGAAAATATTAAACGTGTTCGACAACGATCAATTGATAATAATTATTCTTCTGGTATATTTACATCATCAATACAGGATAATATAAAGCATGAAATTGAAGATTAAATTTACATTGTTGAGATATAATATATATGGATTTTGCTTTTGTTTTTCTATATGATATAAATGCTCTATTCACTCAATTTGTGAATAAATATAAGAAGACAAAAAATATAAATATAACCTTCAAACTTATGTCAGACATGCATCTTGAGAAATTTACAACTGATTAGTTATGAACTTTAGTAAAAAAAAAATATTGACAAAAGGTTTTTAAAGGTAAAGATAGACATAGTCCGACAAAAGATCCATAGATCAGACATTCAGTTTATCGAGATACAAGATGGTAAACGCAATTAAAAGTTTTCCTCTTCATTGGTCAGACATTTTAGTTTTAATTGCTTATTTTATTATTGTTATCGGATTTGGTATATGGGTAAGTTTATTGATATTATTTTATTCTATCAAAATATTGCCTATGAAAATATCTTAATAAATTTTGATAATATAGAAAATAATATTAATTTCATTTATTTATATATTTTAGTCATCATTGAAAAATCGTGGTAGTGTTGGTCGGTATTTAATAATGATAAATTATTATTAATTCTATGATTATTTTGCTTTTTTTTAGGAGGTTATTTTCTCGCCGGACGAACGATGACTTTTTTACCAGTAAGATTTTAATTTTGTTAATTTTGAAATCATTATCAAATGACACATTTTTTAGGTGGGAGCATCTTTATTTTCCAGTAATATTGGTAGTGGACATTTTATTGGTCTTGCAGGTATTTTTTATTTACACGAAAAAACAAAATATAACAAATCATTTTTGCTTATCATGAAAAGAGATGTGATAAATCTTTATCATGTGTTTCAAAGCTAGACTATCTAGAAATATTATTTAATCATCTTTTTTTTATGAAAAACATTTTTTTGGATCATGTTAACCCTTTATACACTATTGAGTCATTTTTGACCTATACATAGAATTATTTCAGAAAATAAAGAGAGCATAGAATTTGCAAACTTTAAAAATAATCTTTGTAGTAAACATTACGAGCCATCGATTAGTAAAGGAGATATTTTTTGTCATTGCTCCATATCCAAAATATATGACTTGCAAAATCGATAAGTTTGAAAAAATCAAAAAAATTGAAATTTTTTTTAGAATTCTTCTTTTACCGACAGACAAGGTACACCTGAGGGATGTGTAATATGATATATATATATATTGAAGAAAATATCTGCTAGTGAATTAAATGCATTTCAATAGTTTTTCAATAGCTTGGTGGATAAGAGATAGTAAGGTACTAAATGAACCGTGAAGCCATCATTGAGCAGCAAAGGAAGGATAGCATAGATGATGCATATAATTTTTGTAAGCCTTATCACATTAGAAATCAAAGAGATATTTTTAATTAACTAAATGTCTTCATTGATTATGTTATTATTTAAATCAAGACAAAGGTGTTTTCAAAAAATGCATGTCAAAAACACATGTGTTATTAAAATTATTTTTTCTTATATTCAATTTCTCCTGTTTCACGTTAGTCTAATAAAAGGAATGGATTTTAGGTCTATTTAATCAATACCATCATAATAGAGAATAGAAGTATGAGTTTTCAGGATGTTCCATTCCTCTCCTTTGCCCAATGGTCACTGTAGTGATCAAACTAATCTGCAGAAAGGACAGTGTGATTGGTCGATCTGATGATACCATTGGCATAGTGGACAGACCAATACTCTATTTGTATGGTTATTTTATCAGTGGCTCTTCCAGAACTCTTTCAGGGTTTAAAGAGTTAAATATGGATGGTAGTACTTCAAAACCTTATCGAATTTTGTAAAAAGAAAGGCTTATTGAAATCGATTGTTAAATAATAGGACGTTAACCTTTTATAGAAAATGTCACAGTTATACAACACAAGAAGACTAATATTTTCTTTTCATAGCAAAACATACTAACTAACAAATATGAATGCATGATGCTAACATGAGAAGTCTTCCGACTGGTAAATTGCTTTCGAGTCGAGAGTATGCCGATTCATATGAGCTATGAATACTCTGAAAAGAATTGAAGTTCTTAGTTTATTGTTGTGGAAATACTGCACTTTTGCGGTAGTTTTTAAATGAATACGATGATCTCTATCACGAACACCTGTAAAACTTCTTTCCAAATTTCGACTTGAAACTTCGCGTAGAGACAGGAACTTTTTGATTGGTAGGCAGTTGCCAAATGGCCCATGGCTGGCCTACTCAGACTGGTTCCATCTCTGCTTGTCACTATTTGTATCCTAAGATATAACTATGGTAATAGTGTGTCTTTTATATTGCTGATATAAACTGGCAAATTTGATGTTCTTATTTTAGAATAGAAGAAAATAAAAGACCTGAAACTTTTACAATAAACTATTCTCATTTAGATTTGTTTCTATGCCAAGTTTCAAATTGAAATTCAAAAATCAGTTTTTCTGGAGCACGATATTCATTTAAAAAATATTCTAAAGAATCAGTATCTCAGCAGCCGACTGAGAATCTGCCGCTGTCATACCACGACCAAAATTCAACTCTGCTATGACGCAGTAAATTATATAGAAAGTTGCCGCTGCTGCGATGCTTTTCAAAAAATCTTTCGAAAATCTCTGCTATCATGGCACTGAACTAGAACTATTAGTATGACTTCATGAGATTCATCTAGTCTCTGAGTATTACACTTATAGACACTTGAATCCTGTGCAAATCTATAAAGTTTTGCAACGTCTTCTAAAAAGAAGCTGCCGCCGTGAATATCTCCATACAGCAGCAATAAGCTAAGGACATGAACTTCTTTTCAAGGTATTCATACCTCATTTAGATCAGTATAATGCACATAGTCTCGACTCAAAAGTGATTTATCAGTTGGAGAACTTTCCTGGTAAGAAAGTCATATTTGTCAACAAGCTGACAAATGAAATCATATAAATATCCATTATTGACTAAAGAATTTACTATTATTATGTTATTTTTAAAAATTTCTTTGATAGGTAGTGGAGCAAGTAATGGTATTGGTGTAGCTGGTTTTGAATTAAATGTATGTTTCTAAATATTTAATTATAAAATAATTCTATTGAATTGATGTTGTTTTTTTTATATAGGCTAGTTATGTATTAATAATTCTTGGTTGGGTTTTTCTACCTGTTTATATAAAAGCTGATGTAAGTCAAAAAAAAAATGAATGATGAAAAACAAAGTATTTCTTTTTCTTTTTTGCTTTGATTCTGCGTATAATTTAAAATTAGGTTTATACGATGCCAGAATTTTTAAAGAAAAGATTTGGTGGTGATAGAATTCGTCTTTATCAAACTGCTCTAGCTTTAATACTTTCAATATTTACAAAAATATCAGTTGATCTTTATTCTGGTGCAATATTTCTTAATCAAGCACTTGGTTGGAATATGTATATATCAATTATTACACTTGTTGCTCTTGCTGCTATATTTACTATTGGTGGTAAGAAATAATTCTATTTCTTTTTCAATAATAATAATAATAAAAACAATATTTCTAGGAGGATTATCTGCTGTTATTTGGACAGATTTTATTCAAACAATTATTATGGTTATAGCTGCTTTTATTCTTATGATTATAAGTTATATTCGTGTAGGTGGTCTACAAATGATAAAAGATCTTTATCCATATTCAATTTCTGATACAACTCTATTTAATACTACAACATGTGGTATACCACCAGAAGATTATTTTAGTGTTATTCGACCACTTAATTCAAATAATGGTCCTCCATGGGTAGGCATTTTTGGTATGACCATTATGAGTATTTGGTATTGGTGCAGGTTAGTTAATGAATAAATGAAATGATTTAGTCAGTGGAGTTAAAGTTTTGCATTAATTTAGCTTTTGAGAAATATTATCTGAAGAAGTATAAGGGTAGAAATGTAATATATACTTTAGCAACGCTCTAGCATATGTAATAACTGAGATATATGAGCAATGAAAGCCTATAAAAGAATATATCCTTTGTATTCTGAATTTCAGAATTGTAATTTTAAAAACATGTTTATTTTTTTCTTCTTGTTTTTTTCTAGTGATCAAGTGAGTATAAATAATAAAAAAAAACATTTAATTGTATTGAATAATTTTTTTTTATATTCAGGTTATTGTTCAACGAGCACTTGCTGCTAAAAATTTAACTCATGCTCGTGCTGGTTGTATTGTTGCTAGTTATTTAAAATTTTTACCTCTCTTTCTTATGATTATTCCGGGTATGGTTGCACGTATACTTTTTCAAGGTAAAAAAAAAAAAGAAAACAAATAAAACACATAGTTCTATAAAAAAAATACATATTTTATTTAAGATAAAATTGCTTGTTCAACTCCTCAAACATGTAAAGAAATATGTAATAATGAAGCATCATGTACAGATATAGCTTATCCATTAATTGTTATTGAATTAATGCCAAGGGGTTTACGTGGTCTTATGCTTGCTTGTATGATTGCAGCATTAATGACATCATTAACATCAATATTTAATTCATCATCAACTATATTTACTATTGATGTATGGCAACGTTTTCGATCAAAAGCACCACAATGGGAATTACTTATAGTCGGAAGGTAAAAGATAAATTTTATGAAAACAAAACAAAAAAAGAAAAATTATTTTCATTTGTTCTTTTAAAAAAAGAGTTTTTACATTAATACTTGTTGGAATATCAATTCTTTGGATTCCAATTATTTCTATTGCACAAGGTGGTCGTCTATTTGATTATATTCAGTAAGACTAAAATATATTTATTAAAACAAAACAAAAAACTAATATCTACATAAAAATAAACAATCATTTTCTATAGATCAGTACAAAGTTTTCTTGCTCCACCAATATGTGCAATTTATCTTCTTGCTATATTATGGAAACGAATTAATGAAGAAGTTTGTTTAATTTGAAAAAGAAAATAATATGAATTTGTTCTTATATCATTTAGGGTGCATTTTGGGGTCTTATATGTGGTTTAATTATTGGTTTAATTCGTTTTATTTGGGAATTTTCATATTCAGTACCACCATGT